AAATTTATTTATAATATTATATATATTTATTCATTTAATAATACATTATATTTATTTAATATCATATTAAAATTATAAATTTATAATATTATATAACTTTGTAATTATGGGTATTTATTACATGATAAGCAATATTTAAGGTTGTTTTAACTTTAGATCCGACATATGTTGTCGATGGTAATTGATACTTTAAGTGGAGGTGAGCCAAACAAAAGCAAACGAGTTGAGTGTAGGCCGGTGGAAATGGCGGGCCGAGGGACCCACACACCAACTGCGATCATTACCGTTAAATCTCTCTCCACCACCAACACATGGTCCCACATTAACTGGTACTACCCTTGAGGTTTTTCAAAGTTGTTAAGTTGGCCCTTCAAGTTTAATTTTGTTATCAAGAACAAACAGAAATATATCCTGTCCTACCTATACTGTTAACACAAAGGATCACGTATGTTAAGGGCAAATTTTGCGATCCCAAGAGCTTTACACTAGTTGAAATTTAAATATGATGTGATCACATTTTCATTCTTGTAATCTATTATTTATTTTAATTATTTTAAAGATTAAATTTTAATCAATAAAATAAAAAATAAACTCTAATATTGTCTAAATTAAAATTCATTGGAATGGATTTTTTTTTTTTTATCAATACCATTGGAACAGAAATTATTGTAAAAAAGCCAAAGTGATCTCACCGATGCCCACTTTATCCCTCCTAGTCTGCCCAAATCAGAAGAGATTGGAATTGAGGGGTTTTGAGGAGAACCTGCAACCCATTCTCCACTCTACTGAAAATATTAAATAAAAAAAAAAGAAAAAAAAAAAAGAGGAGGCTCCTTTTCCCCTGCATTTCCCTTCATCCTCCTTCCAAACCTTCAATCCAAATTACCCCTTGCGTACAACCCAAAAAGAGATTAATAACACCTAGGTAAGGTTCCTTCAATCAAAACATTAAATATCAAAGTATTCACATATGCAAGGGTCTAATAAAGAAATAGCATATGCACTTTTTTTTTGATTTATTGATAATTAATTACTTGATATTAAAGTAATTTAAACTCTTGATATCTACTCTAAATTAAAGTTTTTATATTAATAAGGATCAATTTATCTAATTTTTTATTAATAAACAACATATATATACACACACTTATATCGTGTGACCCTTTTCATTAACTTTTGGCCTATTAATTTGAGAAAAAAAAAAATCTTTCGACCAAATACATTGTTCAGCAAAATGATGGCATTTTATATACAGATTTACTTTAGAGATTAAACTTTCAAACTTTTGAAAAGTTGAGGACAAGAACATGATATTTTTTTTTTTCAAATTTCCATTCAAAAATTGCTGGCGTAGCTGGCTTTGCTTTTATTTCTTTTCTTTCCTTTCCTTTGATTCTCATCGCTGGGTTTGGCTTTGGGAACCGTCCCCAAGGTCATTGGGGCCCACGTATTTATGCTTTCCAGGTAGGGAGTCTCGTGAGACTGGGCCCACTTCCAGCCGTCTGATTTGCCACGCCTGATCCATGGTCATCCCTCTGATCATGTCCTCGCATAATTCCACACCGCCCACCCCGCCCCCCTGCTCA